CTCAGGCTAGTCTCAAACTGTGAGCTCAAGCAATCCACCTGCCTTGGCCTCCCAGAGTGCTAGGGTTACAGGTGTGAGCCACCATGCTCAGCCTTCTCATCCTGGAATTTATTTATTTATTTATTTATTTTTGAGACAGAGTTGCCCTGGGTAGAGTGTCATGGTGTCATAGCTCACAGCAACCTCTAACTCTTGGACTCAAGTGATCCTTTTGCCTCAATTTTCCTATTCTTAGTAGAGACAGGGTCTCGTTTTTTGCTCAGGCTCGTTTCAAACTCGTGAGCTCAAGCAATCCACCTGCCTCAGCCTCCCAGACTGCTAGGATTATAGGCGTGAGCTACTGCACCCGGTCCTCATCCTGGAATTTATTTATCTATTTATTTATTTGAGACAGAGACTCTACCCTGTCCCTCTGGGTAGAGTGCTGTGGCATCACAGCTCACAGCAACCTCCAACTCCTGGGCTCAAGTGAGTCTCCTGCCTCAGCCTCCCAAGTAGCTGGGAGCACAGGTGTCCCCCACAATGCCCAGCTATTTTTTGGTTGCAGCCGTCATTGTTGTTTTTGGTGGGCCGGAGCTGCATTCGAACCCACCTCCTTAGGTGTATGTGGCTGGCTGCTTAGCCACTTGAGCCACAGGCGCCGAGCCACACAATTTTTTAAAAATTAAAACAGAATGCTTGAGAACTTGAGATAGAACTAGAAATGAAAGCAAAATTTGATTCCTTACAATTCAGAGTTAGGATCTGAGTTAGCCTTTGAAAATCTCCCAGAAGTGAAAATGGGCAGAGGTGTGTCTAGACCATTGTCCTAAAGTGAGTGACATTCAACACTAGTCCTGGAGAATGTCATATGAATGAATAAATTGGGAAATGCTGGGTTAAATATTCAATCCACTAAAAACAAAAATGAAGAGAATTAAGCATTAAGCAGTATTCCACCCCCATGAACTTGATGGTCTTTGTCTAAAGGTAAGTAGCTTTCTTTTTTTTTGAGACAGAGTCTCACTTTGTCACCCTAGGTAAGTGCCATGGCGTCAAAGGTCACAGCAACCTCTAACTCCTGGACTTAGGCGATTCTTTTGCCTCAGCCTCCCGAGTAGCTGGGACTACAGGTACCCGCCACAATGCCTGGATATTTTTTGTTGCAGTTTGGCTGGGGCTGGGTTTGAACCTGCCACCCTCAGTATATGGAGCCAGCCCCCTACTCACTGAGCCACAGGCACTGCCCATAGCTAACTTTATGGCTGGCTCAGAGCTCTTAGCTTGCTACAGTGTTCTGAATGTTTAAAGTGGGGCAGGCTCTGCAGTGCTCCTTAATTTTAGAAGCCCCCGGAGCAGGGATCCTCAAACTTTTTAAACAGGGGGCCAGTTCACTGTCCCTCAGACCATTGGAGGGCCGGACTGGGGGCCCCGGGATGAGTTGGCTGCTAAGCAGGACAGGCAGTGGCAGCAAAAACATCCGGCAGGCTGGATAAATGTCCTAGGCGGGCTGCATGTGGCCCGTGGGCTGTAGTTTGAGGACGCCTGCCCTGGAGTATCAGACCCAGTTAACACGCTGCCTCAGATGGGCTCAACCTTGCCTGTCTCCCAGGCCTTTGGTCCTTTGCTCACAGAGAACCTGTGTGCTACTGTGGCCACTGTTATTTGCCTTATCCCCTAGCACTGGTGGCTGTCTTGTCCTTCCCTGGAGTAAGTCTGGGCACCAGCTTGGCCCCTGTTGTATCTGCTGTGGTGGGGGCCGCAGCAGCTTCTGTACCTTTGTTCAACCCATCTGGACCCTATGGAGGCTCTGGCTCCTTTTACCACTTCCAGACTCAACTTACATACCATCCAGCATGGCCAGCGATCTAGTTTCCCTGGCAGCTGCTCAAAGTAGCCAAGCGACACCATATGGAAGTAAAGGAGGAATGAACACTCTGGGGCTATACTTTGATTCTGAGAGACAGCATATAGGAAGTGGTGGGGGCCTAAAACCTTCCCCCTCCATCCTCTCCTCTCCTCATAGAACAAAAGGCCTACCTAGCGTTGCCCTAAGAGTTCTGCAAAAAAGATCTCAGTCCACCAGAATCTTCCAGCAGGCTGTGGAATCCAACTCCCCTAGGCCCAGTATAAAAACAAGCCTCCAACCATCCTCAGTGAAGACACCATCTTTGCCCAGGGGGGTCTCTGCCCCCCTGTCTCCTTTCATTAAACTTGGCTTGAACTTCTCCCAGCTTCGTTTCTGGGTACACCACTGAACTTCTTTCAGGAAGGAGCCAGCAGATAAATGTCTATTTAC